GAGAAGGGGAGAAGAGAGGAGGGGAGAGTAGGACATGAGTCAGGGGGAAAAATACAGGAGAACTAGAAAACAGGTACCATAATAGATGGAGCCATTATAGGTCTAAAGAGAAATCTTACACTAGGGAAATATCTAGAGATCTACAAGGATGACACCCAACTATCAATCTACGAAACCGTGGAGAGGCTACCTTAAATGCCCTTCCCCTATAATGAGATTGATAACTACCTTATATGCCATCCTAGAGCCTTCATCTAGTAGCTGATGGAAGCAGACGCAGACACCCACAGCAAACACTGGGCCAAATTCCTGGAATCCAGTTGCTGAGAGGGAGGAGTAATGAGCAAAGGGGTCAAGACCAGGCTGGAGAAATCCACAGAAACTGCTGACCGGAACAAGGGGGAGCTCATGGACCCCAGTCTGACAGCTGGGAAACCAGCATAGAACTGATCCAGACCCCTGAACAGTGGGTGTTTTTTAGGAGGCCTGAGCATTCTATGGGGCCTCTGGTAGTGGATCAGTATTTATCCCTAGTATAAGAATGGACTTTGGGAACCCATTCCACATAGAGGGATACTCTCTCAGCCTAGACACATGGGAAAATGCCTAGGCCCTGCTCCAACTGATTTGACAGATTTTGAAGACTTCCTATGGAGGCTTTGTCCTCCCTGGGGAGCAGAAAGGGGATGAGATAAGAGGCGGGGGGTGAGGGGAGTGAGAGGGAACTGGGATTGATTTAAAACAAGATTGTTTGTAATATAAATAAAAAGAAGCTTTCATAGATCATATGCTACTATGAACAATAGAGTATAGAAAATAACCATATAATTATACCAAATAATGTGAATTGTTATTCAAAGTAAATACCAGTGTCCTGATACTAGTGTCAAGGTAACATGATGTCCACTTCATTTGACTTTTAAATAGACATTGAAAAGAGACCAAAACTGTAAAGCTTTCTTAACACTATTCTATTCCTCTAGAAGTTAGTTGTAAACATTAATGAGAATGATGACTTCGAGAAAAGAATAAAACTTTGTCTTCAGAGTGTATGAGAAAATAAAGAAGAAAGAAGGAGAGGAAGAAATGAATGAGAAGAGGATGATGAGGGGTAGGAGAAGGGGAGAAGAGGAAGAGGATAGGAAGTGGAGGGGAAAAGGAGGAGGAGGGGAAAAGGAGGAGGGTAGGGAGACTGATGGGATTTCTAGTCAAGAACAATTCTTGTACTTTTTGGTTCAGAACATGCAGAACATTAAAAAAAAAAACAAATAGAGCATGGGAACTGCTAATGTGCAAACAGTCATGGCAGAGGAGCTTGAAAGCAAGGAAGCTATAACACTCATCATAAATGTAGCCTGTTCTAATGAAGTAGATAAACGCTAAGGAGGGAAAGTAGATTGTGCACCCAGTTTGACCTTTTAAATTCCTGATTGAATTTTGTGACAACAGCTCCAGTTTTATACTCTTTGCATCCATCTGTCCTTGGTTTTTTCATTGTGGGTTCCTCTAACCACATTATTTCCCCACAGATGTGGTTGTATCTCACACAGGAAGCCATGTCTTCTAATTTTTCCAGTTCTCAAATTGCTTCATCATTTGGGTATCTTCCAAACCAGATGAGAGGGCTTCTCCATGTAAATTTATCTTTTTGGTTTCTCTATTTGTTTGGGACAGGGTTTCATCATGTAGCTCATGTACTCAGGAATCTCTTGTGAAGCCCAGGTTGACCTCTTACCTCAGCCTACCATTAGCTGGTATTAACAGCCTGTACCATGATACCCAGCAAACACTCATTTTTTTTTTAAAGTAGATAAATACAACACTATTGAACAATTATCTAAGAATTAATATAACATCTATGGCACTCTAAATAGTACTGCACCTGTATTTCCTCTTTCAATTCTCCAAACAACTTCCAACTATGTGTTTCTGTTTCCCCAGATTTTTCTATTTGATAACAACTAAAAGAGATCATCCATGACTGTAGGGCGGGTGAGTGAGGAAGCTGGAGCTGGCTGGGCTGGGTCTGAGATGGCCTGGATTTGGAGGCCTCGCAGTTGGGTAGTGCTTACTCAAGGGTGTGCAGTATAAACGTCCCTCTGCTTGGCCAGTGACGTCAGTAACACGTTGATGCTGGGGCCTGGCCTCTTTAGTAATTGCACATTACTGAATTATTTCATAGCTAAGTGTCTAAAGAGGTCTCTGTCTTACTTCTCAGAAGAAGGGACCTAACCAGAACCTTCTAGTTCTCTAGAGAAAGCAGTCTTTGCCAGGTACCAAAGTAGGACCAGGGGGTTGCTCAGTAGGAAACATCCAGATTATAGTTGCAGGAAACACTGCAAATCCTCTGGATTTAGAGGGAGAGATTTAAGCAGCCATGCTTCATAAATGCTGTGGCTAAGCACTGAGCACATGTCCAGTGGGGATATACATTGTTTCCGATTTTTAATGTTTGCTGTTTTCACACAATGAATAATGCCAATGAAATTTTTTTATAAAATGCCAATGAAATATTTTTATAAAGTATTGAACAAATAATTTGGGCTTTAATGAATAGCTCATAAAAAAGGTATACATTTAAAAAAACTTTTAAAAAGCATTAGCTTTAGAATGAAACAGTGGAAGGGTCCCCCTTTTTACATTGTTAAACCATACCTAGTTAAAGATAAATGGAAGGACAAGTTCCAAATAGAATTTCCACTCACTGTATATTGTGTGTACTCTGCTTTAGTACTGGTTTTTAAAACTTGACATCTGCCACTGAAGGACTAATTGGCTATTTAGCAGTGAGCACAAACTCTGATGACAGGATGTGTAGATGTGGTCATTACAAATTCTGTCTTCATAGGTGTCAAAACACGTTCACCACTTCATACTTATAGCTGCATGTAGTGAGATATCCACCCCACCTGCACCTGTTGCACTGACCACGCCCATTGGGATATGGGGACAGGTGTGGGTGTGACCAAGGAGGATTAGGTCTGGGGTCCTAGACCCTAGTTCTCTCTTTCTCTCTTGCTTCCTGGGTCAGAGACAGAGAGCATCCGGGGGCATCCTTGAGAAGGAAACCTGCAGGCAGTCTTCTGTTTCTGGTGTAAGTGTTTTCTCCCCGAATAAACATCCATCAGCCTATCATTTCCCAGATTTTTATTCTTCCCGCGATATCTGGTGTCAGAAGTGGGATATAGATTTTCACGGGATCTGGGGAATTAGGTTTCATCCAGGGGCATCTACACAACTCCAGTGAGGAGACAAGGTAGCTCATGAGTTGATGACTGGATGACCTTCTGGTTGTTACTGCTTGTGTGGCCATGGAAAGCAGTTTCTTTCTCAGAAAGGAAGCAGAAGAAGTAACTTGAGCTCCCTGTACCACATTACGCTAAAATCAACTCTATGCTGTGAAAGATGATTCACCATGTTAGAAACAAGATAAGCAGTAAAGGGGTCCTGTGAGGTCCTCCTTCTGGTAGGTAGGTAATCACCTTCTTGAATTGGGTACCTACTAGTAAGCTACCAATCACCAAGGATAGCTCCAAACTCATTGTTTCATGGGACCTGGTTAATATTCATGAACACGGTTAATAGACATGACCATGGTTAAAAGTGAGATTTGTGGGGTAGCAGGTGAAATAGACAGGGGTGGTAGGGAGGTGGAGGGTGAGACAGGTCTGCATGCATTGTGTACACTTACAAAACTGTGAAGACAAAGTTGACAAACAGAGGGAATGCCAGATTTCTTAGAAGGCTACGTGCATAAATGGAGCGGGCCTGGGTTACTGTCAAAACACTACTCAGTGCTGGGGAACTTTCACACCCACAAGGGAGTAACTGAAGCAAGTGCTAAATACTGTACTGAGAAGGAACGAAGAGATGAGGAAAACGTATGGAGGAACAAGAATACTCAAAAGGATGTAAAAGTGTCCTCACATCAGCATGTTACTCAGAATAACCACTCTCTGCATTCGTTAACGTGAGTGTCAGTGAAATGAAAGGTGTCTTCCAGCATAGTCTATCTAACTCAGTTGTCAAACTAGAATTACTGAAGTGGTCACCTGCCACAGACCTTAAGCGATACAGTGCCGAAGATGCCAGTGTCCATTTAAAATGGCATGGTGACCCCCACATCATTGGCTCTAACTCATTTCAGGATATCTTCCACTGTTCTAAACACATTTTCCATGTTAACTGAAAAGCAACAGCTCACATTTATTAAAAGTATGTAGTACCCTAAAGCAACTGAAGCCAATAATCATAGTACCTAAAAATAAATGAATAAATAAAAATAAAAAAGACTACAAGCAATTTAATTCTGCTTGGCACATTAAAAGAGTTTCTGCTATATTTTCTTGCTGCACACCTCATCGGGAACATTTCCTATAACATTGATATCCTAGTGAAATGTGTTTTCCAAAGCTAACAGCTTTTAGTGCTTACAATAAGACTCACAAATGCATCTGAAAATATAACCAAAAGGAACTCAAAGAATGTCAAAGAGTGAAAGAATATACTCATCGACATATTCAACCAAAGTGACTCCTTTTTCTCAGTTAGGAATTCGCGGCTCCAGGGAGGCAGTTCTATACAGATTGACACGAGGTAGGTGAATGGACGGTGATGTTACAAATGAGGCATTTTGTCCCATTTATATATATTTTGGATGAAATCTAGCTTCAAGGCTATGTGCAAAGTGATTTTAGAAAGGACTTGTCACTGCCCGGAGTTCTCAGGAAAGTTCTAGCTTTGCCGAAGTTGCACAGGCAGGTGTTGGAAGCTTCTAGAATAGGAAGTGTGCCCCCACCCTCTGGGTTTCAGCCTCCTCCATCCAGGCAGCCAATTGAGGGAGGAGTCCAGTGGTGGGAAAAACAGAGAAGCCTGGTTTAAAGATGCTCTGATCTCGGCGGTACCGGGGAAAACCATACTAGCAGCCCTTAATTTCAGCAGGGCCCCAGGGTCATCTCGAACCCTCCACCCACAGCCCTGGCAAACACAAGACCACCCACCTGGAGGCGCTGGGCCAGCAGTGAGCAGGTCCTGGCTGCTGCCCCTAGTGCCAGTAGCCACAGGAAACATTGCTGGTGGCTGGAGCCAGAGGCTTGGGAACTGCTGGGGTCGGTCCCTGCCTGCAACTTCCCCTGCAGACTTTGAGCTCTGCTGGTTTGTGGCCCTGCAGTTTGCTTCCCACCCTGGGGAGTGTGGCCCTGGGTTTCCGGAAATACAGCCCTGGGGCTCAGGCCACAGGGCCAGGGCTAGGCTTTGCAGGGGGAAGTGAAACTACTTATGGCTCGCTCTTGCATAGGTTCCAGTGAGCTGTCTTAAAGTTCTCATGATATGCCCTCTTCCGGGCTATCTTTAGACTCAGGTGATCTGCTCGCTAGTAGCCTTTCTTCTCCCGTTCTGGGTTTCCCTGCTATGCTACCCCTTCCTCCTGTAACAACAGGAGACCAAAGGAAGACTTCGAGAAAGGAAATTAATTGCTTGACTCAGGGATAGATATAGATATAGAAACATAGATGCAAAAGTAACCCCAACCAGGCTAAGTCCATATGTTGTGGAGTGATTTTCATTCCCACATGGAAAGATTTTCCTATTATGCTCTAATTTAGGAATTGGTCAGGTCAAAAAGAAATTACTCGGATGCCTAAAGAGCCCTTTCCTTCTTCTCAAACATGAGTTCTGCTTGTGTTCTTGCTTGTTTTAAAGAGAGAAATACCAAAAGAGTTACCCCAGACCCTAATGATAAATATCAAAAACCACTAATATAAGACGTTACCAAAACTGGAGAAAATTTAATTATCAACTTGAAAGTGTGGTAGTGATGCACAGTTTCCCATGCTCCTCTTTTCCTTCTTCAGGAAGAACTAGAAAATTCTACCGAGAAGCTTTCTTCTAAAGTGTTTCTGGGATATCATAACTATAACTTTTCCCCTTGCTGGGTAAACTCATTAAGTGAAATGTAAGATAGTTTTGGAAAGCATTAAAAACATTTATGTCCTACACTATAATTTTTTCTATTTCATAATTTTAAGTTAGGTTTCCAACTTTGGAAAATAAAGCAAACCATTTAATCCAGTGTATGAAATAGTATGTTGATAAGTGAGTTACTGTCTTTGAAGGATTGCTTACCCAGAAACTTCAGCAATGTTGAGTTTGAATTGAAGGACACACAACTTTTCTATCAACATTTTCAGAAATATTGTTCTTAGAAAAATTAAGTCATTGTAGGGGAATAAGCAAGCATAGGGTGTACTAAGAGAAAGTTGAATACAGATTTAAGCAATGGTTTTGGGAGGAGGTGAGACAGAGTAAAGGACAGTTGTATTAAGACAGTAGTGTGGGCATCTCAAAAGAGAGTCACCACAAAAGTCTTCCTACATGAGCTCACTAGGAAGATGATCTTCACCGATACACTGGCTACTATGTGTACTTCTAACAGTGACTTTGACCAACTTAGAACTCTAGCTTTTCCTGCACAACTAAGTGTTCAATTCTTCAAAGGCATGCGTGTATGCATGTGTAATGTAATACAGACCTTACTGGTTTAATCAGATAAAAGTCTTATGTCTGTCTATAGCTGCTAATGAAAGCTCTGGTTTTGATGGTTGGTGATGATATCATCATTTACAAATATCCCATATGCTAATCATTATGTGAAAGTTCAACAATGTTAATAATACTTGATCTCAAAACAATGATGCTTTAACCCTACTAAACAAGTGAAGCATTTGGGGTTTAAAACGTTTTAAGCCAGAATTGGAATAGAATTGAGTCCTAGAACTGACTCCAAATCCTGCTTCTTCTAATCCTTCCTTTCTTAAAAGATCATAGAAGGCCATTTCTAAAGACTGCATAGATACTGTATGATATATAAACATATGTATGTATATGCATGCATACATATATATATACATACATACATACATACATACATACATACATATTCTCTTATTCGTGAGAATCAATTCTAAAACCTCTATTAGGGACCATAGATAGTACCAAATCCCATATCTACTATGTTTTTTACTACTTATGCATACTTAGTTAGATTGATAAATTAGGCTGGCAAATAATTAACAATACTTACTAGTAATCACATAGAAGAATTATAATAATATAGTAAAAGTTACATGGTCTGTCTTTTCCTCCCCTTTTGTTTGGAATTTTCCCTTTGATATTTTCTATACCATGCTTGACAGTAGAGTATTGAGACCAGAGAGAGTAATACTGTAGCTAGGGAGGACCAGTGTATTATAAACCTGTTCATATTTTCCATCCACCTCCCATAGAGATATGGCCCTAAAAACTTATCTGTACTTTAAAATAACATTGGGTAGATTCACAATTCATTCTACTTTTGACACTGTTTTATTGAGGCTATTACACATAAGGCTAGTACACACACACGCACATGCACACACAAGCATGCACACGCACACTCACACGCTCATGTTCTAAGTCTCATCAGTATTCTAACTATGCCTATCCGTTTGCAAATCATAGTATTGAGTAAGAAAGCTTTCACTCCTTCTGGTCTTATTTCTGAGCAGTCAAACTTGGTACCCACCCCAATACTGTGTCCTTAAAGAGAGACAAGTGCCTGAAAGGTCAGCTTATCACTTGGGTCACATTTATTCTCAGGGAAGAGGCACTTAGTAACTCTCACAGCCAGAGGCCTTTTCAGTTAGAATGCCACCAGCAGTGTGTAATCACAAGTTTCTGATTTTTACCTCTGCTGCAGAATGACAAAAGTGCTAGCCACAGTTGGTTCCTTGTTTCTCAATATATCAAACGCCTGGATCCATTGACTTCTTCCCTTGCAGCAAATTTTTTCTTCTAGTAGCAAATTGAAGGCCTCAGTATCATCACCTCCATCTCTAAAGATTACAAGGGCCTCACACTGACACGGTGTTACAGTGATTGGATGGCTGGAGCTGTTCACTGTTGCCCTGTGGCAGTTGCCATGGCTCATTCCCTGTGCCTTTACAGAATGGATGTTTTTGCTCATGCTGTTGGGTTTATTTCTACTTGTGGATTCCATGCACTTAAAACAGCGCCAGTTCCTTCTTAAGCCAACAGCTTGTTGTAAAATTGAAATCATTTACATCTTCCTGGCTGTGTATTAATTGTAGAACTTTCTTTTTCATGAATTTGTCTGGCTTTTTAAACCTTAAATTAGATTAGTCATCTGGGCATCATTGATCTTCTTATTTTCTAGGTCAAATCAACATATAGGAAATATTGGGAAAGTGAAGGAATTTTTCCAAACACACACACACACACACAGAGAGAGAGAGAGAGAGAGAGAGAGAGAGAGAGAGAGAGAGAGAGATAAGGGGAAGATCTAAGACTTCCATAAATTCAGACTTTGCCTTGAATTTATGCAAATATACTTCAGGAAAACTTCCTTTGCTTTGTTTTCATTTCTCAGTGTCAAGCACATCTTTAATCAAAGTCACCTCCTCTGCCCCCTTTCCCTTTGAAAAGGATATTGTCTGAAATGGAAATAGAAATGCATTTCTTACTATTGGAACCTATTACCTTCAGTCATTTATAAGACTGACAAACAGAACACTGTTTTTATTATTTACAAATTAATTTTAAAAGAATGCATACTATGTGTGAAGTATTATACTAGCCCCTGGGAACAAAGGAATGAAAAGATACATATTTTACTTCTAAAAAAAGTTTCTTTCTATGCAATTTAAGATTTGTAGAAAATTCTATAGAAAAATTATTAAATGAATATATGGTGTTAGCTTACATGTAACGTGATTGCCAAGGAGATTGTATTATAAATAATCAAGAGCTAACAAATACTGAAATTGAGATAGATTAAGGAGAAGTGGCCAGCAAGAACTTCAACAGGAAGCAAAGGAAGATAATGTGCTTCAGGCTGTGGGGTAACCAACTATGATTATGTGTGTGTGTGGGGGGGGGTGGGACTTCCTAGAACTGTGACCCTGACTCTTGACATGAACCAAGAAAAGGAAGAGAGCAACTCTCTTGAGTCTCCCCTGCACAGCCTAAGCTTGGTGTGTGAGTCTGTAAACAGGACCTGCTCTATACTATTATTTGGCTTTCCTGTCAAGATGCCTGAGGAAGTGCACCATGGAGAGGAAGAGGTGAAAACCTTTGCCTTTCAGGCAGAAATTGCTCAGCTTGTCCTATATCAACAATACTCTTTTCAAAACAAGTAAATTTACCTTCAGAAATTGGTCTCTAACACTTCTGATGATTTTGATAAGATTCACTATGAGACCTTAACAGACTCTTCCAAGTTAGGTAAAGAGCACTTGCTGATTTCGGTAGACACGGGCACTTGCCATGTCCAACTCTGACTTTATAAATAAGTTGAGAACAATTGTTTGATACAAAAGAGTTCATGGAGACTCCCCAAACTGCTGAAGACATCTCCGTGATTGGGCAGTTTGGTGTTGGATTCTATTCAGCCTACCTAGAGTCAGAGAATGTGGTTGTGACCACAAAGCACAATGATGATGATGAACAGTAAGCCTGGGAGTCTTCTGTTGGTAGATCCTGGACAGTTTGTACAGACCATGGTGAGCCCATTGGCTGGGTTACCAAAGTGATCCTTCACCTCAAAGAAGACCAGACAGAATCTTTAGGGAGTGGGTCAAGGATGTGGTAAAGAATCACTCACAATTTATAGGCTTTCTCATCATTCTCTATTTGAAGAAGGAACAAGATAAGATCAGGGATGATAAGGTAGAAGAAGACAGTAGTGAGAAAGACAAGAAAGCTAAGGATGACAAAAAGAAGCCTAAGATTGAAGATGTAGAATCAGATGGGGGGTTGACAGTAGCAAAGATAAGAAAAAAATGAATATTAAGGAGAAATACATTGATCAGGAAGAGTAGAATAAGAGGAATAAATTTATTTGTAATAAAAATCTTGATGATATCACTCAAGAGGAATATGAGGAATTCTACAAGAGCCTCACCAATGATTGGAAGACCATTTGGCAGTCAAGCACTTTTCTGTAGAAGGTCAGTTGGAGTTCAGAGAATTGCTCTTTATTCCTTAGCAAGTTCCTCTTGACCTTTCAGAGAGCATGAAGAAGAACAACATCACACTGTTGTCCATCGTGTGTTCAGCATGGACAGCTGGGATGAGCTGATACCTGAGTACCTCAACTTTATCCATGGCATGGTTGACTCTGAGGATTTTCCCCTGAACACCTCCAGAGAAATTATCCAGCAGAACAAGATCCTGAAAGTCATCTGCAAAAACATTGTGAAGAAGTGCCTTGAGCTCTTCTCTGAGCTGCCTGAAGACA